GGCGTGGCATGGTTTGAACTTCATTTTTCTCAGAATGGTTTGGGTTGTTGTGCTAAGAAGAGGCTATGGGGAAGCAAGATGAAAGCTGAAGAGCTGGTGTGGACAATGCTTCAGTAATCCACCTGTGACCAGTGCATCACAGCAGGGTGAGAGCAGGGAGAGAGTAGACAGGGGCCAGACACTGGATATACTTTGAAGGCAGAATGCATAGGATTTCCAGTGAATATGAGTAAGGAAAAAAGGGAGGAAATGAGTCCTTAGGTTGGAGCCACTGGGAACAGTTGCCTTCCACTGAGACAGGGGAAGCAGTGAATGGCACATGCTTAGGGACAGACATAGTGAATTGAAGATGCTGTTTAGATGCCCAAATGGAAATGCTGAGTGGGTTTGGCTTATGATCTTAGAGGAGTTCAGAACATGCAAATCCAAGATATGCCACATATCAGCTGTTTTGAGTTAAAGGCTAGTGAGTGACAGCAGATACAAGAAAAACACTCTGACCCTCCTTATTTTTCTTAAAAGCAGGGCATAAAATTCCTGTATGAAAGATGTTTTCCCCATAGGAAAAGGAAAGTATCATTCTTACCATCCAGGATGAGAAGTTGAGACAGAGAGTTCTACACAAAGACCTTGTAAAAATAATTCTCTTCCCTTGGCCTCTCCCTATAGTTCAGTCACTTTTCCAGGATTGCTTCTCTGTTCAACCTAATATAAAAAAGCAAATAGGTTTTGCCATTTCTTTGATCTCCATTCCTTATGAAGGCCCCCAAATCTTGTAAAACTTGTATTAAATAAATTTATATGCCTTTCTCCTGTTGATTTATCCTATGTCCATTTGATTCTCAGGTCCAGCCAAAAAGAATCCTAAGAGAGTGAGGTAAAATTTTGCCCCTCCACCCCCATTAGTTTCTAGTTTGGGCAGTTGTTCAGGCTGGAGAATACCACCAGCCATGCGGCATACACTCAACAAACACTCACTTAGTGAAAGAATGAATAAATTTAAGGTCTGTCTTCCAAGGTCCACTTTTCTATCTAAGGACTTTACTTACCCCCAGGTAACTATTACAGAAATATTCACTCTCTTTAGTAGAATTATTAATCTGTATGAGATCACAAGACAATGCTGTCAAAATATAGCAGAGTAAGTCTAACATGTACAAAAATACAAGTTTATATTTATATATAAATTGGCTGGGTGTGGATGGATGTGTTGGTTGGATGGGTGCCTATTATAATTTTTACAAAGTCATTGCACAAATAGAGATTGCGGTAGAGCCAAGGAAAATGACATCGGTATTCTCAAACACGGAGTCATACTTTGAAATTTTGCTTAGAATTGCCTTGGAGCAGATTGAGAGACTTACAAGCCAGTATCATGAAACCAAAGACCTCTGCGGGGGGGGAGGGGCATGAATTCCTGTTTGACCTGAAAATGTTCCCAGTAATTTAGAAAAGGGAGAGGTGAACATCCAGGTTTTAGATTCTATGATCTTTCTTCTTTTCCAGTTTGCTCCGTTTATTTTTCTAAAAAATGTGTCCCTGTAGGAGATTTATTTTTCTAGAAAATGTGTCCCTGTAGGAGATTTATTTTTCTAGAAAATTTGTCTCTGTAGAAGATCGCTTAGCTGTTGGAAGAATTGGTCCAATTAAATTGTAGTAATACTATAACAGTGTTGTCTCTACTTTTTAAAAATGAAAATGCCCTATCTAGTCAAAAATCATGTAGGTCCTTCATACACAATACATTTCTATAAAAGTAATTTAAAACACATGAAAGAGCCACCAATTTGGTGGAGAGTCTTAAACAGCCCCACAAGTTTGTTTATAAATGTGGTTTTCTAGAGACATACTTAGAATTCTTTGCAAATAAATATTTGCATGATATTTTTGTACAAAGATTAATTTCTCCTGGGATAAAAAGTGTTTTTAGAAATATTTTTGTGTTGCTTCATACTCATACTTCCTTTCAATGATATTAGAAATTTATAGAACTATTCCTATTAAATGGAAATTAGTGCATTGAGCATGTTATTTTGGTGAACTTGATTTAATATGTGGGCCACATTCAAACTGTGGAGTAGGCTGCTTTAAATAATTCACAATAGAGATAGAGGAAGACAAAAATACATCTAGACTGCAGTAGCTTAGCTGGCCATTTTAAGAACCCAGTTTTACTAGTAGCTAAACCACTCTCTTTATGAGATTGTAATTTCTGAGGCACAAATACCAAGTTCTATTGCATGCATCTAGGAGTGGCTGTTTTTGTATGTGTGTGGAATGTTTTTAAAAGGATAATTTATCTTTTTCTGAAAAGAAACACAAAATTAGTTATTGGACAAGGCTATTTTTACACAAAATATTATTTGCCTACCTAACCAGGAAAGGACATTAAAATTTTTTGCATTGGGTCGTCTGGGTGGCTCAGTTGGATTAAGCGTCTGACTTCCGCTCAGGTCATGATCTGTAAGTTCCTGAGTTCATGAGTTCGAGCACCACATCGGGCTCTGTGTTGACAGGTTGGATCCTTGAGCCTGCTTCGGATTCTGTGTCTCCCTGTGTCTGCCCCAACCCCACTCGAGCTCTGTGTCTCTCTCTCAAAAGTAAACATTATAAAAAAATTAGAAAAATTTTTGCATTGGAACCTCTTTTTCTTTTGTGGTGACCTTTGTCTTCATCATAGTTATCATCGATAATTTTTTTTTAATTTGGCCTGATGCTTTATGTTATTTAAAATATTTTATATTAGGGTGCCTGGTGGCTCAGTTAGTTAAGGATCTGACTTCGGCTCAGGTCATGATCTTGTGAGTTTGTGAGTTCGAGCCCTGTGCCGGGATCTGTGCTGACAGCTCAGGACCTGGAGCTGCTTATGATCCTGTGTCTCACTTCCCCCATCCTTTTTGCCCCTCCTCTGCTCTTGCTTTGTCTCACTCTGTCTCTTAAAAATAAATAAATGTTAAAAGAAATTTTAACTATTTTATATTGTATTTTTTCCAGACATTCTACTTCTTGTTACATCAGAGTTTTGTTTGTTTTTTTGTTTTCACTGTATGTTGAATTGAATGTTATCATGAGGGAAATAAACAAAATTGGCACAAGGAGGTCTCAGGACTGTATTTATCAAAGTACAGCAATCAGAACAACAAATTCAGGTAGTGAGTGATTAGATTTGAACTTTGACATCAGTTTTAATGTTTATGATTGTGGCTTTAGCCGGTAGCCTATATATAGCCTATATACTGGTTTTAATTCCTAAAATATATGGCTGTGTGAATGAGATCTGGCATCCTGAATAGGAAAATGGGACTGCTGCATATGTACATAAATGGATGCTAGTGTAAGGTCTATAGTGTGGCAGACTTTAGTGGAACCTGAATAATGCTAATATCATGAAGCTCATCCTAGCTTAAAAATGAGCCTAAGCGAGGAGTGTGTTTTTAAAAGAAAACCAGGTCTAAGGAATGATTTCTCACCATGGATTAAGATTAATTAAGCTTGACTTTCTTCCTAGAACTTGATGAGAGGGTTCCTTAAAAACATCCTGACTCCTTTAGGGGGTCAGACTTCTTCAAGCTTCTCCTTCAGGCCAGTTTGGCACCAGGCTTCCATAGTTCTGGGTTCATCGTAACGGAGTGGGAGTTCACTGATGACTCTAATTGCTCAGTTAGCAATTTCATGATTATCATGTGTCTTTCCAAATTGTTCTTCTCTCAACTAGAATAAAGAGAAACTACCACAAGGAAGAGAAAGTTGTACCACTTACCCCATCCCCACTCTTTTCTTTTCCTTTTTTTGTTCTGCTTCAGGTAAGGCACAAGAAGTACCTCTGTCATGGTTCTGGACGAGGTGAGAGAATAAAAACTAAAGCAAAATCTGGAGACCCTTCCTGTCCCTTAAACAGCATGCTGTCTGCGAACTTCATCTCCCTGAAGTGTGTTACCCCAGATGGCAGGGCTCTGCCCTGCTCCCTGTTTCTCTCCTATATCCCAGCACATAAATGTTTTGAATGATGTTTGAGGACATCTAACGAAGGCATTTTTGCTTGTTCGTTTGAAGGTAGGTTAAAAGAAATCATTTATTTTATATATTTCTTTGGACTTCTGGGCATAGTTACCTGAGTGTATGCCAGCCCCCAAATGAACTAGCAGCATAAAGGTAGTCTTACTGTTGTGTCAGGGCCTGTGTGATTCGCTAGTTGACAGTACCTCTGTATCATTACTTTGGTGAAATTACAACTAATTTCTTTAAGCTCCATGCTTTAGGGAGACAAAAAGTCCTGTTCAATCAACAGAGGTTGAGGGGTTTCTGGCTAGCAAGGCAAGCTCAAGGCAGGAAGGATGGAGATCCATCTCTCTTGCTGGAGATGATGCACATGGCTCCTTTCTCACTAGTGACCACAGGCCTTATTTTAAAGATCAACAAGGACCAGCTAACCACCTCTGCAACTGCCCCGCTTCCTGAGCAGAAGTGATGCTGGAAGGGGAGCTGGTGGATGGGGGTGAATTAGCTGGCCTGTGAAACTTTCCAGCAGTGGTAAGGATGCAAGAGAGGAGACCCGGGTGGTCGGGATTCCCTGGTGGGGCCTTCACCGGTCTTGCTTGTTCTGGCCTCATGCCTGGCACCTGGATAACAACGTAAGATATCTGTGCTGAGATGGTTACATTCTGATCTGAACCTCCCACGGACTGAACGTCTTGTTTCCACTATCAGATTTATAGCATCCTGAGAACACAAGTTACCCTCAGAGGGCAGAGTGTACTGTATGTGGGAAATGTTCTCTTACAATTTGTCAGAAAATGAGACACTGGCCATAACATTGTAATAAGGAGACAGAGAACACTCTTCACCTCTGCCAAAGTTTCTTAATATGTTCCTTAAAGTACATACTCTGATTTTCATTAATTCTCTTTATGTAGGCAGAAGTTGGAATTCTTTCTCTGCAGACAATGCCTTATTGTGCCCACAGCTTTGGAAAACTTTCACCTTTTCAGTTGTTCCTGTAGATCACTTCTCAGTCTTTTGGCTAAGATCAAGTGTAGTATCTTTTCTGGTCAGTTTAGTCCGTGAAGTGTCCTCTATCAATGAGCAATGCATTAAATGCATTTTCAGAGCAGGGAGATGGAATAGGAGAGCTTGCTCTGTCCGCTGCATGCATTGACCTCGTATTCCACTACCTTCAGGAACAGTGCACCCCCTCAAGGGAAATACCCAGGTGTCTAAAGTCAGCTTGAGAGCTGGGGAGGGGGGTGTTCATCTGAGACTGTGTCTGCTGGATGCTTCCTCCTTGGAGTGTCTGGGCAGGCGGCTTGTACCTGGTTTCCCAGCGGTGTAGACCTGTCCCCGTCAGGGACAGGGGGCTCTGTTATGTTGACCGACTGTGGTCATTCCTGGAGAAAGATTCCTTAGACTACCTCTGGGCTGTGTGCCTGCAGGAGGCACAGCAAAGGCTGTGTGGGTACAACTAGGGTCAGCCAGAGACGGTCCGGATGGTAACACAGGAATATGTGGAATGCACTGCTGGTCTTCCCACACGCTACCAACTTGCATGCAAGTATAATTATGCCAACAGTGAAAACAAAATAAATTGTTCATGTGGATTGTGAAAGTGAGAGGATTGTGATGGCAGACCTTGCCAGAAAAGAGGATTTAGTTATTTTCCCTCCTGCCCTTATCCTGCCCTGATCCTGGAAAGGGAATGAGACCCATTACCTGTGTTCAGGAGGTGTGTTCTCCAAATTAACGTATTTTCCTAAAATGGCTTTCCCTGGATAATTACGCTGATCTTCATAATGACCAATGGCAAACGCACATTGGCAAAGGAAGGGAAAATCATGGAGATATCAATGCAGAGATGACTACATGTCAGATTTTATGTAGTGTTCATTGAGTTTAAGAAAGCAAGTACTTATCTGTATTAGTGCCTCATCGTTTAGAATATCCACTAGCTTAAGGTACCTCATTCTATTTTATTTTTAATTGACTTTGTCTTTCAGGAGAACTATTAGGTGAAGAAAGGAAAGAATGGGAATGGAAGAGGAAAAGGCCTCCTATCATAAGTGTAATAGACGCCCAGAGCCATTATCATATGTTGGTTCAGAGCTTCAAGTTTTGCTTTGAATCTTTCTTCTCCCTATTCTTGGTTATGTGACTTTAGGCAGTTCCTTAACAAGTAGTGCCATTAGAAGATTGAAGAAGGTGGGGGGGATCATTGCACAGAGGTAAGAAGTCAGGGTCTAGAATAGAGTGGTCACTTAGCACGTGTGTGTAAGATGAATGAAGTGACAAACGGTATAAGGAATCTAAGTCTGGAGTGAGGACAGTGCTCTGCAGAGGTTAACTGGGGAAAGGTTATGGGATGGTGGTGTTGGGGACAACAGGTACTTATACAAGGCCAGGTGACTTGAAAGCAGAACAGGATGGAAGATACTCATATTAAAAATTTAGGGCAAAAAGAGGTCAAATCTTTCTCTGTCTTTGCACAGATGCCGTAGTGTGTGAGTTATAAGTATGTACCAGTTCTTTCCCACACCTCCTCCTCATTCATACCTGCACTCCAATCAACCAATACTTGCCCCAGGGGTATATATATACCTAGGGGCAGCAGGGAAGCCCATTTTTAAAAATACATATTATTTGTATTTTTATTATAAACATAAATTTTAAGATAAAATTTTGGAATATTTTTAATAAAAGAGAATCATGTTTCAACCGTATTGGATGTTTTGTACAGTTACATCATCACTATTTTGTAAATGGTCATCAAGAGATGAAGCTTGAGTTGTGTGTGAGTTTTCCAGGTGTATTTTAACGTTGTTATCCCACAGATTATGGTGAAAGGAGCAGGAAAAGAAGCAATCACCAGGGGGAGAAGAGAGGAAGAAAAGATGCCTTTTATCCCCCAGATACCTGGCATTTACTGAACACAACAAAAAAATATTACCATTCCCTTAAAATGAAGGCTAGAAGGGATACCAAGAGTTTTACTTTAGAAGCAGATTCATTTTTAAAATACAAAATAATGAGATTACTTGCCAGATTATATGGGGTCAGTAGAAAAGTTACCACCATAACCAGGTCTGAAAAGCAATCCAAGGATTTGGAGTGAGAAAGGGGAAAGCAAAGAAGTCATGGTGTTTTGACTTGGGTTAAGGGAAGGGAAAATCCACAATTAAGGTGTGATTCAGGGAACTGAGGCACCAGAAGGCCACCAACTAAAGAGCTGGCTTCTTTGCAGATCAGGAACTTGGCAGGAGCTGATGGTGGTGTAGACATACTATGTCTCCCCCAGAGAAAGCCTCTGGCTCTGAGCTTAATTGTTTTGGCCAGAAAGAATCAGGAAGTTTAGGAGCTTATGGCTTTGCTGGGCTGTTGCCACACCTGTGTGGAAGATAAACAACCCAAACCTCTCCACCACTTTTTAGCCTAAGGAAAGATTACCCAGATGGATGGGTATTGTTAAGCCAAAAATGAGAGCAGGAACACATCAACTATCGAAAGACTTAATAGCTTGCTTAGAGAGTGGAAGATCCGGAGAAACTAAATCCTAGGCCAGAACATCCCCTTGAGACATTTTGGGGGACATTTGTAATTTTTGTTCAATGACAGACTATAAGTAATTCCCTCAGCAGTTACCTGGGAAATAATCCTAAAATACAAAACATACAGTTGTCTTGGATGGAATATCATCTACTACTTGGTTAACCAAAGGTGTGGAACAACATTGGTAGTTTTGAAAGTAAAGTAAAGTAAAAGTAAAGATAGCGCTTCTAAAGATTTATGGCCCAGGATGGCAGAATGAGCATAGCGTGGGGGACCGAAAATGGGGCGTTAAATCTTAAATCTTTATCTTGCTCCCTTTGTGATCATATACAAGTTGCTTACCCTTTCTGATCTCCAGTTTGTTTCATCTGGGAGTAAGGACAAGCTCTGTGCTGTTTTGTGGCGAGCATTAAACGAGATACCGCATTGAATGCCCCAAGCTCAGAATAGATACCTGTTAAATTATATAGCTTCTGACACCATTTGTACGAGTTTGGAACATAATCTCAATCCCCAGATGCTCAGATGTTCTGAAATGATTTCTTTTTCTTTTTTTTTTCTCAGGCATAGAATTGGGAGGTGGGGACAAGGAAAAGGTAGTAGGCAATGTGTCCCTGGCTTTAGAGAAGTATCTTAAAATAAAACATTGAGGTCTCGATTTAAAAAAATAAATTTCAGGAGCTTGCTCTGTTTCAGTTTATCCATCTTTAAAATGGGACTATATTACAGTTATAAACAGTTACCAACAGAGAACAGTATCTTTTCGGTGTCATAAGATTCTTCTATTTCAGACTCTTCTATATTTATCTCAAGCACTCAAGAACATGAAGGGTTTCAAAATATTCCACTGAAAAGACCAGGTTTTCTTCTGCTATAGAAATGTGGGACAAGGTATATTCAAGTGGTAAATCAGTGACACCCAGTGGCTGCTGCCTTTATATTTACCTTTTTTATTTTCAGTTTAACTTTGTAAGGCTCTATCAGAACAAATGAAGACAGTGATGAGACTATGAAAGTCATAGCTACTTTGGAAGAAGAGTTTCCCAGCAGTGACATGGGTTTTCTAGGACGTGGGAACAACCTAACAGCACCACCAAAAATAAAAGAGAGTGATGGAAGGTAGGGAAACAGTTCTGGGAATTTCCTGCCCCATCATTTTGCATTTTATTTAAGAGCACACTCAAGCTTTCCTGTTACTGGTGGATTTTGCAAGAAATGTTCCCGTCGCCAAAGTGGAATGTCAACTGCCCGGATTTGAGCTTCATTCTAGTCTGTTGAACACAGTGGGGGACATTCCCTACAAATTAGACTTCTGAGGTGTCTAAAACTTAACCGGAGGCAAGCCTCCCCCCACTCCAAAGCTCCCCTATGACATAGTAATTGTGGCGGGGTTAAAGATCCCCCACACAAGTGAGGTTGAGTAGAGGCAAGCATAATGGCACATAGCTGGGCTCAAATCCCAGCTGGTACAGCCTGTTAATTGGATGCCTTGGGTCACTTACAACTTCATAGAGCCCTTATATTTTTATCTGTACAGTGAGGGTTAGGACACCTGACACATAGGTCGTCATGGGGTTTTAGTGAAATAATATAACTAAAGTGATGAGCATATAACAGGCACTTGATAAAAAGCAGTCAGCCTTGTTCTTTTTTATCATCCAAGGTTCTCTGTCAACCTAGGCACAAGACAACTTCTGACCAAAACCCTTCTCTGAAACTGAATGAGTGCTTTGCAGGCACTCCGTGATCTGAGTCTTCTGTCAGGACAGCGTGGGTGGAATGCACTCATTATCTCTCTTTGTCATTAGCAGGCAGGACTGTTTTTCATATAGGACCAGTGCTGCTAAAGTACTATGGGTTTCTTGGATGAAAGTCTCTCTTCTACTGCATTATAAAATTGTTAGCTAACAACTTGCATTGTAAGGATTAGTGTTTTTCCCACATAAAACCTTCGGGAGGTTATCAGAGCACAGGGAAATGGTAAGTAAGGTAATTTGGTAGCATAGCACATAAAGGATTCATCGAAGGTTCATTAGAACCCTCTAGTTCTTGGTTGCTGCTGCTTTTAATTGCCTCATACGTATTTTCAAAGGATGGGTTATCAAACTATGTAAATAGAAATGTAGTTGTCAGTAAAATTTACCAAAGATGATCTCTTTAAATTATCTTTATATTAAATATGTGAGATGGTTAGGACGCCAGGTCTTGCGGTCGAGTGGACTTGAATTTGAATCTGAGTTATTCCACCTCCTGGTTTACTTAGATTCTCTAGGTTTCAGTTCCATCATCTATAGAACAAGGATGATAATGGCTGCCTCACAGGATAGTTGAGAAGAGTAAAGGAGAGCATGTCCGGACAACATTTAACATCTGGCACAGAGTAAGTGCTCAACACGAAAAGGGAGGGTGGGAGCCCAGAGCAGTGGCTCTTAACTTTATCTGATTCCAGCCCTCTTTAGATGACAAATATTTTTATTCCCTCTTTAATATCTTCAAATGAAATTTTAGAACTAACATAAGCTGTCTACTCCATTCTTCCAATAGCAGTGAGTGTGTTCTAATTGAAACAGAAGGGAGAATCAGACTTACGATGCATTTCATATGTGCTCGGGTACCATGCACCCTGGATGCTGTGTCTCCAGAGCAGCCCTGGGGTG